CAAGAAGGGATGTAGATGCCACCACAAGCCCTATCGCTGTAGGTACGTGAGCCAGTCACCTCCTGACGAAACCTCCTCCCACTTGGACGCTAATTAAGCACCTATTGCCTCTGCACACGGAGCTCACACACATTCATTATCCAGGTATCAGTGTACTGGTGCGCCATATTAGTCTAATTCACCACCTCATTTAACTCTTACAGCACGCTAAGGTAAGAGTGTGACTGTTATCCTCCTTTCATAGATGAAAAAGCAAGATTTTAAAAGATGAAATAGTTTGCCCAAGGTCACCCAGCCAAGTGCTGATTAAGCTGGGCTTGAACACAGACCTCTCAGATTCCAAAGCCAAAGCTTCTATCTGCTACGCAGTGTGGCCTCTGCTCTCAAGAACCAAGAGATCTGTCAGCCCCGGTCAGCTCCCCATTCTAAGCCACTATGCACAGACATGGGGGGATGACCTTCTCTAGGATGGACTTGACAACAGTACCTACCTGTCCACAGTGATGAAAGATGGGTGTGTGCTTTCAACCAAGCTATTCTCTGCCAAACATCACACGAGTTAAGGCAGAAACAGAGAAGGGAAAGAAAAGAGATGAATAAGATACAGTTTAGTCAAGAGTTGTGTAGGTGAATGAAGACCGGGGAGAAATCTAGGTTCCTTGGAGTTTTTGAAAGCCACAGGAGCGGCAGCAAAGAAGTGGGCTGAGAGTTCCATGGAGAATCCACTGTATATCGTGAAATAAAATCTAGACGATTGATGCGTTTGATGTATTACCGTTGTCTGTGTTCTTATCTCATATGACCTACACTTAAAAAGAAATGATGAGGGCTTCCCTGGTGGCGCAGTGGTTGAGAGTCCGCCTGTCGATGCAGGGGACGCGGGTTCGTGCCCCAGTCTGGGAGGATCCCACATGCCGCGGAGCGGTTGGGCCCGTGAGCCGTGGCCGCTGAGCCTGCGCCGTCCGGAGCCTGTGCTCCGCAACGGGAGAGGCCACAGCAGTGAGAGGCCTGCGTACCACAAAAAAAAAAAAAAAAAAAAAAAAAAAAAAAAAAAAAAAAAAAAAAAGAAATGATGAGCTTTCTAGGTTTTCTTAATGTATATTATACCACATTCAACGGGCTATATATTAATGCCACCATAGCTCTTCTAAGCATCCGTATAAGATTTCATACACTAGCCTTCTTTTCTCCCTTTTGCACTGACAGCATCTTAGTTGAGTCAGTGAGTTCCAGCCCCAGACATTCCCACCTCTATCCCACCGTGTACCCCACTGCAGACCGGGCTTCCTGAAGTCTGGCTTTGATCATGTCCTTGCCTTGCTTGAAAATAAATTATCGCTGCTCCTAGATATGTTTACCCTTAGCCTGCTGTACAGAGCCCTGGACAGCCAGGTCCTAACCAATGATGACTAGTTAATTCCTACCACAGTACTGACCCTACACCGGAGTCAATCTCAACTGCCCTCCCCCCTCCAAACACAGCCATGTTTTTCCACCACATCCAGTCCAGGCATATCTCGCTCCACTCTACGGCATAATTATCATAAAGGAAGGGTTCTTGTCCTGTCCAGTGCTGCACCCTCAGTACCCAGAGCCAGGCCTGGCACTCAGGTGCTTGATGCCATTACCTGTGGCTGAAAACCTGTCCACATCTTTAGTTCACGGGCTCCTACGGGCTCTTAAGTCACTGTGGCACACTGTAAAACATGGCCCCCAAACTCTCTGCACCCCTCCCACTGACAGCTGTCCCCTGTGTCCCTTTCTGTTGAACCAGGGCCCCAGGACTGCTCCAGCAATAAAATAAAATGGCAGCTGTGATGGTTTTAAAATGTGCCCATCAGATTCTTCAATGCTCCTCCCTTGGGGTGGCATCTGTCTCCCCTCCCCTTGAGTGTGGGCTGGACTTAGCAATTCCCTTCTAGTCACTAAAGCAGAGATGACTGTGTGAGTTTGGAAACTAAGGTCCAACAGGCACTGTGTCTTCTGTCCTGTTTCTTTCACTCTCAGATCACTTGCTCTGGGGGAAATCAGTGACCGTGTCATGAGCACCCTAGGGCGTGGCCCACGTGGCAACGAACCAAGACCGTCTGCAGACAGCCAAGTGAATGAGCTTGGAGGCAGATCTTTCACGCCCCATCAAGCCTTCAGATAACTTCAGCCCCACCCCGTATCTGGACAGCAACCTCGTGAGAGATCCTGAGCTAGGATCACCCAGCTAAACTGCTTCTGGATTCCTAACCCTCAGAAACCATGGGATACAATAAATGGTTGTTGTTCAAGCTACAAAGTTTTGGGGTAATTTATCACCTATTAATAGAGACGCGTGCCAGTTTCTGAGTCCAGGCCTTAAGAAATAAGAAACTTCCATGTCTTATCTCTTGGGACACTCACTGTTAGAACCCAGCAGCCATGTTGTGATGAAGCCAAGCTGGCGATAGTGAGGTTACCAACAGACGTGGTAGAACCAACGTGGAAGAACCAACAGACAGATAGACAGACCAACCTGCTAGTCACAGGAGTCCTGGAAGGGAACTTCCAGCCCCAGCTGCCACCCCCTAGCTGACCCTCCCACCCCCTGCCCAAATAGCAGGTTCACGAGCAAAATAAGTGATTGGTGATGTTTTAAGCCACTAAGTCTTGAAGTATTTCATTATGCAGCAATCACTAACAAGGACAGATGTTGGCAACTGAAAGTAGAATGCTGCTGCTGCAAACCCTACAGCCTGAGGCGCTGACTTTGGGACCAGATGGCAGGCCTCAGTGAAGCCTGAAAGGAAAGTAAGAAAAGTATTGCTGGAAGCCAGAGGAAAGGGGACCCCTATAATATAGTGACAGAAAGTCTGGTAACATTATCAGCGAGGCAACACAGAAAACAATTCCTAGTGAAGTTAACCACACGGCCAAAGAGATTTCCAGGCAGGATACAGAAGTGCCCACTGGCTTCTGGTCGCTGCCTGTGATCAAGTGCGAGAAAAGAGAGATGAGTTAAAGCACATACATTTAAACATAAAGGAGCCGGACTTTATATTTTAAATAAAAATAAAGTTTTAAAACAAATCTGTTTCTTATTCCCCGTCTCTGCAGAGAGCAGATGATTCTCAAATGAAGACCTCAGTCCATAGATCAAATCCAGGATGGGAGATCTAGAAACTTTCAGACAGACGAAAGGCCCTCTAAGAACCTAAGGGCGTCCCATTAGATCCTCTCCATTCAATAGGGCTTCTGAGAAACTCAACGGCATTGTCCCAGCATCTACACAGAGAACCCAAAATAGGCCCCACTTGGAGAGGTTTGTGGTTGTGGCTTTTGTCTAGTGGAGTGAGGGTTTGCCATTCTGAAGGTACCAAAACATCGGCACCAGCAGCACCCTAAGGGAGGTACCGTTTCCCTCCTCGGGCCTCACCTGCTGTGGAGCATAGCTCAAAAGGAAACAGAAATCGCATTATGTGTGGAAGTTAATGATGACCAGCCTGCCGCTAGCCCAACCCATGGGGCAGCCCGCTGACTGAAAGTCCTGTTCTCCAAGGGGCTCAAGTGTGACCAGGAAATAGGGAGGTCGGGAGGTGAGTTCCCACCCCAGTTAACTCCCTCATCCGATTAGGCCTCACCAATTTCCCAGCTGATCTCAGAACTACACAGAAAACCCAGGCCCCGTATGCAAGATACCAAGTTAAGAATTTTCCCTGGGATCCTAACAGGAAATTATTCACATTTGAGAGCGGGTTCCCCTTCTGTTCCAATGATGCATCTCCGCCCTTGGGCTTAATACAGACACATCCACCTGTATTCCCGGGAAAGATACATTGATTAAGAAAGGCAAAAACCCTAACTCAGAAGCAAGACTGTGTTCAGTCTTCTTTTTCCCTCTTAGCAAGTGGGGCTGTAATTCCAAGTACATGGCATGTGAAGCTGTTAACAGCCAAGTCCCACGTTCACATGCGCGTGTTCTGCGGGTTGTAAATAACACGCGTGACTGCGCCGGGCACCAAACTGCTCGTTAGCTGCCAACATTAGTTGTTTAATGATCTGAGAAGCAGAAGCTGCCGATTATTGTATTCCTTCTTAAAATGCCATTTAAAACCCATACATGTAATTATTATACCTTTTCATTAAATTTTTATGATTCTTCCGAAGCCGGTGAGCTGTGGATTCATTCAACCTATACAACTCAGAATCCTTGGAGGCTGTCATTACATAACCGGGTTAAGAATCCATCTATCACACCTGGACTCCAGCCTCCAATCTATCACCACTTAGCTGATGGAGTGAACTTCACCAGAGGACACACCCCAGGGCCTCAATCTCCCCCTCTGTTCCTCAGCATTGCAGGATCTCTCCCTCCTACTTGATAGAGCTGATGTGAAAATAAAATAAAATAACCAATGCAGAGGAATGTTCAAAAACACTGTTCAGGTGATGGAGTAAGATCCTATTTTCAGAGGCTTGTGTCTTCAGCCTACCGATTAATGGGAAAAGATATCCCTTAGTAACTACCGGCTTAAGGAAGGAGAATAATCCACTGGGTACCCTCCAAAAATCTATAATCTATGACTAGATTGTTACTCTGAGTACCTCAGTTTATCTCCTCTTATCACTCCTTCCGCAGAGGAAGGGGCTGATCACACCCAGTAACCCTCACTGAGCTTCTCCAGATACCCATAAAGCTGTAGAAACATGGGCTAGAATTGTATGGCATCCAGAGTATCTAGTCTCTAAACTCTTAAAGAAACAGGAACTGCAAGTCCAGACTACGGCACCTACACGAATAACTATTTTATATGATGCGTGCACGTGTATTTTTAAGAGTCTTATTCATCCCTTATAGGGAAAAGCACGCTGCCCGTCTATCCCGTGGGTTGTAGTGGAACTCCCCAGAAAGGCTTTGAGCTGTTGAGCATGACATCAGTTACAGGCAGAATGTTAATCCAAGACAAGATACGGATGTGGCGGTTGTCATCACTCACTCCAACTGCCTCCGTGGTCCCTCTGTCCCCAGGTACCTGAGACGGCAAGCACTTTGGCTTCAAGCAACGCCGGCAGTTGGGTTTCAATATCGTTAACTTTCTTCCTCAGGGCACTGCAGAGTCTTTCGCTCGTACACACCTAGAGGGAGAGAGACATGAGTCATCATGCATTTATGTAAAAGTCAGAGGGCAACAGAGCGCCAGACAGATTCCTGGGTTTATAAGTAATAAAGGGGGTGATGAAGAGTAACTGGGGACCTCCCTGGTGGCGCAGTGGTTAAGAATCCGCCTGCCAATGCACGGGACACGGGTTCGAGCCCTGGTCCGGGAAGATCCCACGTGCCGCGGAGCAACTAAGCCCACAAGCCACAACTACTGAGCCCACATGCCACGAACTACTGAAGCCCGTGCGCCTAGAGCCCGTGCTCCACAACAAGAGAAGCCACCGCAATGAGAAGCCCGCGCACCGCAACGAAGAGTAGCCCCCCGCCCGCCGCAACTAGCGAAAGCCCGCGCGCAGCAACGAAGACCGAACACAGCCATAAATAAATAAATAAATTTATATTTTTTAAAAAAAGGGTAACTGCAGGAGAGTTCTTAAAAAGCAAGCAATGCATAAAGGAAGGAAGGAAGGATGGAAGAAGGGAAGGGAGAGAGGAAGGGCTAAATAAAGCAGGCACCGGCGTATTTCCAGCATAGATCCTACAGCTCTCACACACCTGAACACAAAACTGAGATACACTCACACAACAGAGCACAACCACAAACTAGAATAACTCAAGCCCTCTGCCTGCTCCCTCCCAGGGCCTCTGCATTCTTACTCCTTCCTTCTGAGTGGCTCAGCTTGTCCCTGGTGAGTCAGTTCACTCACAGCCCTCAGGGCTCTGCCCTGGGAAGAAAGGCCTTGCCGGTTACCCACAAAATAACAGCAAGCCCTCGGCCCTCCCTCCCCTTCCACCTGTCCCCTGCTGGATGTTTATCCATAGCGCTCTCTCCAGCTGACACACTGTCTTTCTTCCCTTGTTTTTTTTATTGCCTTTCTGGGTAGGATACGTGCTATGGGAGCAGGGATTTTGATCTGTGTCTAGCACGTAGTAGGCAGGAAATAATGGTACACAGATGTTATTACAATCAAGGGCAGAGCGTTCCTAGTCCACGTTGTCTGATAATACTCGAGGGCGATACTTGTTGGGATGTCAGATTTGCAAAAAGCGACAAGTAGATCTCAAGGAGGTTTGCAGGTTTTATCATTTCACTTCCTACATGTTTCTTGTTTTTAAAAAAAAAAAAATCTTAAATCTCAGTTTCTTTTTCCAGATGTCCTAGGTCATTCTGCATTTGTTCGAAGCTAAACTATCACAATTTTATTTCTTTTATTTAAAGCAGAAACCTCATATTCAATTGCTATCTATACTGAGGTTAATGAGCTACCTAAAAAAATCTCCAGTGCAACAAAAGCACAGAGCACAGTTGAATAACAATGAACACATATGTGGAGACATTTTGGGGGGAGCCCACAAAGGATGTTACCTAGAAGCATCCCTCTTTTCTTGCTAACAACCTTAAATTCCATTCCGACACTAAAATTAACCCAGTTGGGTTCACAGAGCCCAGAGAAAATGTAAAATGTAATCTCCCCAGAAGTTTCCAAATCTTGCTAGATACCATCAACTTGAAATGCTTTGTGTACCTCAGACTGAAATGGAGATTGTTTCTAGAGTCAACGCAGACCTCGCCCATCCCGCCTAACATGTGACACCATTTCCCCCACGGCCTTCAACATGTTCTTTTACACTAAGCGGCTGTAATTTCCCACATCTCTTTATAAAACTTACTTTCTGGGTGAAGGAGACGGCGTGGAGGCCTCTACCCCAAAGCTCGTACCAGGAGAGCTGAGCAACCATCATCCAAAGCCATTCATCTGGAGACCCCCTCTCAACAGTCCTGAGGTTTGTCAGGGTGTGTCAGGACCGGGAGTTTAAGGAAGGTGCTCCGGACACCCGCCCCGGCACCAAGTCTCACGGGCTCAAGGCCAGGGACGGGCACGACCCCTCCCATTGGTCTAAGCCTGTCACCAGAAGTCCCAGGACATTTCTGTCAACTCCGTAACACCAGCCACAATTGTTGTGCCTCATCCAAGTACACCCAGTATTTCTGGTTTTAGCTCGCAGTCTCTCTTAATCATAACTGGGTCCGTTTCTCTTTTGTTGAGCAATCTGTCACTATTAATATGAAACCACCTCTAAATCTTATTAAATTGCAACGTACATTCTTTCAGGCACTGCTGGATGTAATCTAATATCTACCAACCTCCGGATACCCCATTTATTTCCAATGCTTTCTTCCATCTCATTTATCCCCTAATTACCTTTGGTTTGGGGAACCCGTAAGAGTTGAAAAAATGTAATGAGTGGAAGGCAGGTGCCAGCTCTCTTTGAGGAAGGATTTGAAAGAATATCAGATTACTGTGCCTAATTCACTGAAGAAAGAAAACTGGGCCAAACTGCCACTTTTACCTTAAGCTCACCAGTCCAGAGGGGAGAGAAAGTTGTTGTGTATGACTGGGCAGTTTTGTTCTAATTCTCTGTAGACTAACATATGTCCCCCCCATACACACACACATTCATGTATGTGCATGTGTACACACCCACCTATATACACACACACGCACACGCACGTGTGCCCCAGAAAATCTGCATCTCCTTTTTAATTCCAAATTAAATTGGACCCTGAGGAACTCATTATCAAATGGAGCTTTTAAGTTTACACTTAAAAATCTTAGGCATGCATTCCTTAATTTTATGGAAAAGCAAGGGAATTGTAAGTTTTTGTAAATGTATTAGAGAAAGGATGCAAACAGAACAAACCACTTCTGGCATTTGAGCCACAGTAGCTGGAGATGATCAACAAATCCCAAGGTCGTGTGCATATGTCTACGTGTGTGTATACATAATATAAAATGTCACAGAAAGCACACACAGATAAACACCATCTGTGTTACATATTATGCACCCTCACTGCTGGGATAGAGACTCATTTGTGTTACACACACAGTAGGGTCTGATGCTCAATAAACCCAAACCCAAGAGTCCTTCCACATATGAATACTACACAGAAATCAGGACACACCTGATAAACGGCACAATTTACAGTAGGAAATTCAGGAAGATACCTCCACCACCACCCCCATCCAGGAAGCTTTGGTCTCGCCTCACCTCCCCACTGGCTCCACCTGGAGGTCACAGTGGCAGATAGGGCATGAATGCCAGTGGGCAACATCACCGTCACTTATAAGGCAGAAATTCGGGTCTGCTCTCCAGCATCCCCTCCTGCCTCGTATAATAAAACTGGTGGGGCTTCCCTGGTGGCGCAGTGGTTAAGAATCCACCTGCCAACGCAGGGGACACGGGTTCGAGCCCTGGTCTGGGAAGATCCCACGTGCCGCGGAGCAACTAAGCCCCCGTGCCACAACTACTGAGCCTGTGCTCTAGAGCCCACAAGCCACAACTACCGAGCCCATGTGCCACAACTACTGAAGCCCACGCGCCTGGAGCCCGTGCTCCGCAACAAGAGAAGGCACCGCAATGAGAAGCCCACGCACCACAACGAAGAGTAGCCCCCGCTCGCTGCAACTCGAGAAAGCCCGCGCGCAGCAACGAAGACCCAACGCAGCCTAAAATAAAATAAGAAAAGTTTAAACAAAACTGGTGAACCAAGCCAGTCGTCCTTGACCTGCAGCTGGGCAGGGGGCGAGGTCTCAGCCGCGCTCAGCCTGGGAGCCTGAGATAAAGCCCTTTCCCGAGTTCTGCCTGCGGATTCAGGTCCCCGCACGGCCTTGAGTCTCGTCCTGCCCTTCCTCTCTGGGTAAGTACCCCTGGGCGGTTCTCTGGTTCTCCAGGAAGGCAGGGCGGGCTTCAAGCATTCCGCGGTTCCAGGGCCCAACGCCGTCCAACTAACCGGCAAGACAGTCCTCACAGGAAGCTCTCCTTCCATGCAGGGCAGAACTGCCCATCAAACTGCTGCTGTGTGATTTTCAGCAAAATTATTTAATGTGTTTTTTCAGAAACGAATTAGACACAAACACTGGGCAAAGGACCAGAGCCGCTGTGGACATTTTTGCCAACAACACATCCCCCATCTCGGCTCAGCTAGGGTTTCCAAGACCCCAGAAGGTCTTCCTGCTCTGTTCCCCGGGGAACCGAGAACAAGCAAAGCTTCCTTCCAGGGCAGCACACTCTTGTCTGCTTTGCTCTCCGCTCAGAAACCTGTTCTTTTCACATTTCAACCATCTTATAACCGCCCTGGTTCCCAAACCTAACATAAATCATTAATGATTAAGACCTAGCTCTCAGCCTCACCTCTACTAATAAGTCACAGGGTAATTGATCCCACTTCACAGTTTGGCAATAAGTCGGTGGGGTCTAAGTATCTCTGCAAGGAAGGGTTTTGTTTTGCAAACTGTGGTTTTCCTAACTAACCAGACACAGACGACTTAAGTGAATTGACCACGCGCTCCCAGGGAATAACGAAGCAGGCCTCTATCACTACACAAACCAAGGTCTGAAATGGAGTACAGATAGCAGATAAAATAGGCAAAATGATCCTGAAGTCAATTTAACTTTGAAAAACAAAAGATAATCATCTACTATACCACTTCCTGTCTGTCTGTGAGAAAACTGAACCCTGCCCTTCCCAAAGGAAATGTAATTCACTTCTCAGTTCACTCCCATCCTGGAAGCCTTTCAAGCAAAGCATTCGACTGCACAGCAGCAATCATCTTCCTTCCCCAACACTGCAGCTCCTTCTGAAGCAAAGGCCAAAGCAGTCAGCCCCTAGGGACCACAGTCAGGCCCTCCACCATGGGAGAAGCCCTCCACCCTGGCTCTTTTGGCTGGCTCATCGCTTGGCCTGTAGAATGGCTTTGCCAAGTCTGTATTTTGTCCAGAGTGCAGGTGTTCTGTGACATGAGATTAAGTCAAAAGGAAACTTCAGAGACTTCTTTAGAAAGTGGGCATGGAAAGGTACTTACCTTAGCAGTGATCTCCTTAAGTGACAAGTTGAGGGATTTTATCCTTTCCTGGAGGCTAGAAGAATTAGAAAGAGGACATTGGTCTTCGTGGTAACAGTTCAGTCCCACCACATGTAGGAACACTGAGAAACAGTGAACCTTGCATCAGCCTAATGGCTAAAGAAGCAAAGTAGCAAAGACAATGCCAAACTGGTTCCATTTGACTATAATTAATAGGTTACTAAGAAGCAGGTTTTCCCCTCCCTAATTATTATCTACTTAGGCTGGTATTAAAATCTGTTTTCGTTTCTATAGTGCACTTCTACTGACAGAATGAACAACCCAGATGTGCTCCTGGCAGCAAAGGATTAAATTACATTCCTACAACTACCTTCCAAGAAGGATGGTCTACGCAGGGTACCGTTTCACAGGCAGGTAATCCAGTATTATCTATTTGGGTTTACTGTGCAATTCACCCAATATGTTCCCTGCTTCTTTTTTCTCCTTAGTGCTATGCATCTTAACATATTTATTTACTCATGTAATTTCTCTCTTCCCCCTTTGGAATAAAAGCTCCACAACTGCAGCAACTGCCCACATCCCCTTGTGTCCGCTCCTGTATCCTCAGTGCTTAAAATAATTCCTGGAGCTTACAGATGGGCACTCAGTCAATACCTGCAGAATGAACGAATGAACAAATGAATGAATGAAACTAACACTCAGACTTTAATCCCAGCGTTGTTATCTAAAGGAAAAGTATACGCAATCATCTATAATATAAGCTAGATGGAGAAGTTACGATAAGGGGAATAGAAACCCAATACTAGAATCAAACTGCTACATTAGAACTGTCACAGGCGGCATATAGTCCCCAAGTGAGCAATAGGATAATAACTGGTGTAGCCATTTAGAAAACTAGGGGATTGACGGCAAAGCTCCCTGGAAGAGGTGGAAAGTGAACTGGGCATCAAAGGTAAAGGAGGGAGAGTGAAATTTCAGGAAGATGAACCCAACTGGCCAGTGGTTCACAAGGGTGAACTGTGAGAGATAAAGGTAAAAAGGGGAGTGATGGGGGCAGGGACGGGAACAGGAGGTCTACCTGCATCTGTGATTGTTTGTTTATTTATTTATTTAGGAAAATAAGTGGGGAAAATGCTAGTATTTGTTTAATCTCCATGGTAGGTAAATGAGTATCTGTCATATTCTTCAAAGTGTCTGGGATATTTACAACTCAAATAATTTTTCAAGGAATATAAATAACTATCCATAGTCAGTACTGAATGCCAGGCTAAGGAGTTCTGAGCTTTAGCCCACAGCCAATGGGAAGTCATAGCATTTCTGAGCAGGAGAGCAACAGGAAAGAAACGGGGGTTTGTTCTGGAAAAGTAATGGCATTTTGATCAGCGAGATGCTGTACACTTGAAACGAACACACTGTAAATCAACTATACTTCAATTTTAAAAGTAACTTAATTTAAAATATAATAAGGATAGTATCTTATAAATGGGCTTTCCCAGGCACACACACAGACTGGCTCACGTGTCAATAATTAAGACAAAATTAACGGCAATGTTGTTCCGAGCAACAATGTGAGAAGGGATTCAGAGGGAGAAACACTGAGTGCGACAAACCAGGCAGGCACCTTCAGCAAAATTTGTGAGGTCTAAGGGCTGCACAGAGTTTCAGAAGTCAGGAAGGAAAGGAAAAGCAGTGAGGGCATCTGATCTAGAGCTCTGCACTCATTCATTCCCTCACAAATGCATTAACTCTCCCTTATCTATAGGGCACCTTGTAAGTTAGAAACTTGGAGTGTGAAGACAAGGTTCTTGCCCTCAACTCCTCAATGCTGCTAGATGGGAGCCCCCCTTCAAACAAAAAGTTACAGGTACTAGAAGGGAAGTGGTCACTTAGTTAACCTGTGAGCTGCAAAAGGGGATGGTCAGGTTTTCTGGGGTCTTGGTGGGTGTCAGGAAAAGCTCCTATGCAGAGGTTGCAAAGTATCAGAGCTAGGTTGCCAATTTTACTGATTGCTGTCGATTTCTTCAACTCTAAGAACTGGTTTTGAATGTCATCACCTCCACCAATCTGTGATTTCTGAGCACAAGCAAGCTCATTTCATTTGCAGATGCCCTGAAACTGGTGCAGGTACATTCTAAGCAAAGTCATCCCCACTTTAGACCTACATTCAGCAGAGGAGGGTGTCCCAGGGAAGCTGAGGTCAGCCCAGATGACAAACCGCAGGCCATGTGGCAGCAGATTTTTCTGAATCCAGGAGTCGCAGTATGATGAAAATCAGTGTGATCAATGGGAACAGTGGGATCCCGCCTGGAGAATTCTAGACACTGGCTGCATGGAGATTGGGTCTTTTGAAGGGAGGTAGGTCTGAAGGGCAGGCTAACGTCTAGAGCGGGAAGCTGACCAAGACGCTGGAACTGCTGGGGAGAGATGGATACGCGAGGATACGCGAGGATACGCGAGATAGGCCCCTATTGATTCTGGTAGCAGCACCACTCTGTGCTGGTGTTGTCAGGTCTCCAAACTTGGGCAGAAATGCACAGCCTTTGCCAGGCTCGTGGGAGTTCATTCAACTAATACCTCCTCAATAAACGGTTTTCCACAAAATTGATCCTATATTTAACAGTATCTTTTTTTTAATGTGGAATCTAAAAAAGACAGATACAAATGAACTTATTTACAAACCAGCAACAGACTCACAGACTTAGAAAACAAACTTATGGTTACCAAAGGGAAAGCCGGGGGAGAGATAAATTAGCAATTTGGGATTAACACATAAACACGACTATATATAAAATAGATAAACAGCAAGAACCTACTGTATAGCACAGGGAACTCTACTCAGTATCTTGTAATAACCTATATGGAAAAAGAGTCTGAAACAGAATGTACTGATATATATGTATAACTGAATCACTTTGCTGTGCACCTGAAACTAACACAACACTGTAAGTCAGCTATACTTCAATAAAAAATCAATTAATTTAAAATAATAAGAATAATAGCATCTTATAAACAGGCTTTCCCAGCCTCACACATACAGACACGTAGAGAAGATGGTCATTTACGAGCCAAAGAGAGACGCCTGGAGCCGACCCTTTCCTCACGACCTCGGAAGGAACCAACGCTGCCGACACTTTGATCTTGGACTTCCAGCCTCCAGGACTGTGTTTAAGCTCCACAGTCTGTGGTACTTTGTCATGGCAGCCCTAGCAAACTAATACATGTGGGATTTTCCATTTTTAATAGTACGGTTAATCACATGTATTATTAAGATTCTACACACTGGTGCTCCAGGGTCCAAAGAAAAAAAGTATACACTGTGTGGCAGCCACCGGACGACAGGAGACAAGATGGCTCTTCTGTTTGCTTCAGGCTAATAGATGGTTTCATTTTCAACCCACCCAAGTGGGAGACTGAGAGCCCCTCCAACCACAGAGTGTAAATATTCTTGTCTTGTAGTATGGGCGCTAAAGACTACACAGGTGGCTACAGGCAAGTTGTATGTGAGAATGTCTTTGAGTTTTTAAAAAATGGTTATGGGGCCACTGGGTTAGTAGAGAAGCTCACAAATGCCTTAGTTTCAGGTTAGGTGTGCAAAGGGGCTCCCATAAATCCTGCAATATCACGAGAAAAACGCTCGCATGGATGTCAAAAATGTCAACAATAAAACATTCCATATGGGGAGGGACAGACTGCTTTCCGGCAATCATTAGAAGGCGAGTGGAACTGAAGTCAGTCATAGTAACTCATCTAAACAGTACAAGCCAAGACTTGGCCAAGGGCCAGAACGAGACATTTATAGGGAAGCATATCAGCCAGACAATTTGGGTTCAATGACTCAGGGTAAGAAACAGTTCTGAGGAAGAAAGGTCCAACCAGAGGAGCACCTGTGCTGCCACCACGCTGGCCCAAGCCATGGACACCCTCCTCTGAAATGCCGCGGTGGCCTCTGAACTGGTCCCCTGCTTTTGCCCTCACCCCCCTACAGTTTATTTTTCAGCCTGTAGCCAGAGCGAGACTTCTCAAGCACCGCAGTGCAAATCCCTTCTCTAATGCACCCAGGTAAAGCCACATCCAACGAGGACCAACAGGGCCCATCTCCCATCACCTCCCTGACCTCGTCTCCTACGACAACCTCCTTTGCTCGCTCTGCCCGGCCACAGAGGCCTCCTGACGTGCCTCGCATCCACCTTGGCTGGCGCAGACCCCTCTGCCTGGATGCTCGACCACCCCCCACCTAGACACACACCAGGCCAACTCCCTCCTACCTTCCAGTCCTTACTCTACTCTAACGCCTCACGGAGCCCAGGCTGACTACTTAAGTGCATCTAAATCCCATCTCCTAGAAGTCCTGCCCGCTTTGACTTATCTGTTTTGGATGGTTTCTTTTCATAGACTGTGTACGGGTTGAATTGTGTTAAAGTCCTATGTTAAAGTCCTAACCCCCCATATCTCAGAATGTCACCTTACTTGGAAACAGGGTCACTGCAAATGTAACTAGTTAAGATGAGTTGCTAGGGTGGGTCCCGCGCCCATATGACTGGCGGAGAATCTGGATTCAGACGCACACGTGGAGGAAAGACAGTGTGAAAGGACACAGGGAGAAGACGGTCATCTACAAGCCCAGGAGAGACTTGGGACAGATCCTTCACTCAAAGCCCTCGCCCACCGTCACCTTGATCTTGGACATCTAACCACAATAAACATCTGTGTTAAAGCCACCCATATGCAGTACTTTGTTATGGCAGCGCTAACAAATTAATACAGACTGGCAAGGGAAGGGAGACACGTGGAGAGCCAGAGGCTGGAAGTAAGGTCCATGGCTGTGCAGAGGGCACCCGGAGGTCTCAGCCTGGAGCCCGCCTCCAGCCAATGCTAAGTGCACCCTCACTGCTGATAAACTGCCGAGACCAGAGGGTCACTCTACAAAATTCAGAATGACTGTGCTTAGAGCAACTTGCTAATGTTCCTCAAAAGCCAACAGCTGCATTGGGCAACTATTTGGTTACAGAATCCCATGTCCTAGTCTAAGAGTGACTAACTCTTTACTCCCTGTTT